CTTGCCTTGATGACCAGGATTGGATAGATAGATAGATAGATAGATAGATAGATAGATAGATAGATAGATAGATAGATAGATAGATAGATAGATAGATAGATAGATAGATAGATAGATAGATAGATAGATAGATATGTGGGTATCTCATGCTATTTGTCACTGTTGTTCTCAGACAGACGCCATCATGCAGGACTAATACAAACCCCTCTCAGAGGAAGTCTCTCGGGAGCCCATAATAAGCCATTAAACAGGCGCATTAGGAGTAATGAAAAGGCTCTTAGTGGTTTACCACTGCGGGCCACCTGGATTTTTCTCTCTGTGGATGTGGGCGGCGGCTGCAGCTCCACAGTGAGGGGAGGAAAAACACAGAGATAAATGTGATGCTTGCATGCATAACTAGTCTGTTTTCTGTTATAATTTCCACTCTGAAGTGAACTGTAACAGCCGCTATCTGTCGTGTTTGCTGCACTTTATAGATACAGGTCTTTGTGAATATCAGGTATGTGCCTGGGTTGGTATAAACAATGTTATATGGGATGGGGATTATGAAAATAGCTTCTGTATGGAGTGCAGGCTCACTTTGGAAACCACCCATCTGAGGCTGTAGTTTATTGTTGGTGTTATGACATTGAAACCTGAGAGTCGAATAAATGTGTGTGATTGTTTCAGATGGTGTATGACTGCCAGGTGTTTTGTTGTGTCTTATCTATGTGGTTTGATCCCAGTGAGACTACCTGGTTAGATAGAGGTTATATACATGTTCTCTAAATGTTTTTCCCCTCCAATAATGATCTACATTTCAGTAAGTTCTGCTGTAATTGTCATGATACAGCAGGTCAGTTTTAATATATGATTAAAGATGAACATCTGAACTTAATCTAGAATAATAATGACATTTCAAATTCAAAGTCTTGCTTCTCTGACTTCCTGCTTAGGGTGATATTGAATTTACTGCTTCAAATCATTGTAATAATAATAATGATAATAGTAATAATAATAAAATCTATAATAGCAAATAACTCTATACACCGAAGAAGGCCACGAGATGCGACCAAAAGCCAGGTAAGTGGACAAGAATGAACCTTCTTATGGTGGATTTTCCCTTTAAGGAGGCTGACTAGAAACAAACGCTGTCCGTGGTCCTGAAATCCAGACCCACTCATCACCAGACTTTAATGTTTCTCTCTGCTTTCAGGTCGATTTACACTAAAGTGTTGAGCGCAGACGACACATAATCCAGTCGGTAACACAGACAGCGTGCTACCTGTGATTGTGATGCAAATGTTAATGGACTCTGAGGTCCTCTGATTAGCCTGATGTGGGCTAATTTCCCTCCTCTACGGTCCCCAGAGAGCCCAGAGTGCCTTTTCACTGTCCCCCTTATTAATTGAGGATTGTGGTATTTTTCTGCCTCGCCGGGCTGGTAGAAAGGCACAGCAGTCAGGCAATCATGGGTTAAATGACTGATATAATGTAACACAGGATGGATGCTTCGCTTTTTCAAATATATTAGTCTATTCTTAACCAAAAATCATTTAGCAGTATCTCTGCACTCCTGAGGATATTTTGCACTTTTATCTCAAATATGCTCTCTTATCTGGGCTCTATCTGGGTCGTGCGTCAAACGATTCATATAACACACTCCCTCCCTCTCTCTCTCTCTCTCTCTCTCTCTCACACACACACACACACACACACACACCTCGTCATTACCTTGTCTCACTGAAAACATTTAATGGATGAGGTAATGATAGTCTACAATGAAAGTCTTTGTAGACCTACATAATTGCAGTCAATGGCACCATGGAAAACAAACCCAGTTTATCCTGTTTAGTACACTGTAAAATACACATTGCATAAGCTTAAAAAAACAGCAAAAAGGCCAACAGGATGTGTGTATCAGGTATTTTCTGAAATATGTTTTATTCTTTTCATAGCACCAAAAACACCAGGTATTTTTTTTTGGGGGGGGGGTTGCAGTTGTTTACAGGCTTTGTTACCAGAGTGCTCTTTCCAGGAGAAAATTACCCCCATAATGGCGAAAATTAGGCTTTTATTTTTGTGATTGGAGAAAAAAGATGGGGGTTGGTGAAGGTAGGGCTCTGTGGGTGGGTGGGTGGTTGGGGGGGTTACATGAAGGCGGAGAACCTTGTGCCAGCTCACCCATGTGTGTAATGTGAAAAAGGAGAGCCGGGGGTGAAATACAGAGGAGGGAGAGGAGGAGGAGGAGGAGGAGGAGGAAAAAGGGGAAATGTGTGTGGGGGGTGGGTACAATGGAGGAAATGAATTTGAGGACACAGTGGGATCACAATGACATTTTTTCTGATTTTGATTTTGACCTTCTTATCACCAAGAATCAGCTGGATATCGAACATGCGAGTCAAACAAAACCAAAAAAAAAAAGCAGATAAAGAGCTACGATTGCTCATATCTGTGTCGACACAGATGAGGATCCTCCTGGGACGTGGCACCCTGACCTTCTGATGACTCTCGGGATGTGTGATAAACTGAGAAAATCACTTTCCTCCTCTTGGCAGATGAAGGAGAACCACTGATGCGTGGACGCTTAGATGAACTTACTTGCAAAATGAGTTACAAGGCCTGAAAGAAATGTGAAAGTGTGTCTTAATGTTACCTTCTGTGTGTGTGCGGAAGGTCTGAAAGCTCCACATCTGTTCAGTGAATCAGTATGAGACAATAATATGGGGCAAAACTTGCATTTGACAGTGTAACACAGGCCTCAAGCGTGGAATTTAAAAGAGATGTTGCCCTTGTGTGTATGTGTGGGATTCATCGTATGATCCTAATAAGCCTAAATCCGGTTGTAAAACTCAGTCTGAATACCTACACATTCATGACAAGCCAAAAAATATTTTCCATTAGCATTATTATTGTTGTTATTATCTGTACAGCAGGTCGTGAGAAGGTCTGCTGTAACCTGCTGGCTGCTGGTGTCACGGCTGCTCTTTTCATCTTGCAGCACACTCCATCAGACAGCGCAGAGCGCAGATCAGAGGAGGGCTGCAGCCCGCTGATAACAGCCTCTGTCATTAACTCTTTCATTCAGGGCTGAGGGGGGGTTGGGGGGAAGCAGCCATTTGTGTTCCCACAGCTGAAAAATGTGCACACAAAAAGAAAGACACACATACACAAGACGCGCACAGCAGGAGCGCGTCGGTGAGCGGTTTATTTGCCTTGTATTTCAGATTCCTGTCGTTTGAATCAGGGTTGAGATTAAACACAGGCCTGATGCAGCTCGGCCTGTACTCCCCACATCTAAGCCTGAAATCACTGCATCGTGGTGCAGCTTGGTTTCATCCTGAATTTAGCTGAAGATCATTATATTATGTGTAAAAAAACCCCGAACAATAAAGCAAACTGTTTATCTTTTTTTTATCGCCCTTTGTTCTCTGTCTGATGCTCATCTGCCAGTGGTATCAAACCTCAGCTCGGACCAAAGGGGTTAATCGTTTTGAGAGTCACTGTTTTTTAAAATAATATTTTACATTAACAGTGTAAACATGCTTATCTGTGTCTGTTTTTATCCTCAGAAAGATCTCTGACACAAATTCATAGTAGGCCTCTCACACTGATTTAAGTGGTTTGTCACATGATGAGCTCTTCTGTTATTCCCTGCTCTTATCAGGTTACAGCCTATTCAAGAATCCAGGTCCAGAGCTTTTAATCGGTCATATTAATTTATTCATTCTTTCATCAAGTGCAAAGCAAATATCCTACACAGCAGCAGACCGTGTTACAGTAAACTGTGTTAGTTCAGGCTATTTTTTTTTTTGTGATGAACTCTGATACTGCAGCCTGAGGAAACACTGAGCATGGTGAACACAAAGTACAAGTGACAAGGCAATGTCAACAAACTGTTGACAGCACTTAGGGCTACATTAATGGAAAACAAAAATCACTGCAATTAAAGCTTTTTGCGACTTATTTTACACTATGTCAACAAGACATAGTGTAAGCTATGACGACCCAATTTCCCTTCGGGGATTAATAAAGTCTATCCATCTATCTCTCTCTCTCTCTATCTATCTATCTATGAATGACAAATAAAACGTGAAAGCGCCTCGTTACTTGAGAATCTTTTTCAGCCAGACTCGATATTAAAAAGTTGTTCATTTTTGCATTTGGCAGGAAATTTTTCTTACTGTATATTTTGAGTCTGATTCGTTCGGTTGGACAAAAAAAAGAGGAAGTTTTTCTCGACTTTCAAAGAATTAAAAATAAAAGCATTACGCATTCTGACTCCAGACCAAATCAGGATGTAAACAGGTGAGTTAACAAATAATCACAATCAACATTTTTGTTTTGTTTTTCAGACTGGCTTGTCTAGAATTTTTAAACAATCCTCGAGTGTACATTTTTCTCAACGGAATCAATCATCTTCACAGACACAATCAAAGTCACTGAATGAGTGAGTGAATGAATGAATGAGCGTCCTGAATGAAGACCACAGCCGGTGCAATAAAAGTAGATTTACCTTTTAATTTATGGGGGGAAAAAAAAGAATAGGTTGCAACTTTCAAAGCCTGTATTAAAATATGTGCGATCTAAAGTTTTATATCTTACCATCATTTAGCAAAGACAAAATGCACGAAAATATTTTTTCCTCATCAAACAAACGCAACACGGTTTTTTAAACCCGATCCGTGTAATCCCAGAAACAACTTGGGTTACTAGTTTGATGCTCCACGTCCTCTTCTCGTTAAAAAAAGAAATGAGATTTGTTTTTAAAATAACAAATCATTTATTTTAATCTCTTATGTTATATAATCTGGTCCAAAGAGTTTGGGTTTTCGTTAAATTCCATCCTCCTTTTATACGCGTAAAGTTATGCAAGATTTGAGGCCCCCGAAATGTCATTGGATGTTAGGATGAGGTATTATAGATTATGGGTTGAGGAAGGGGTGGTGGGGGTACTACAAGCACCTCCCCTAGAAATGCAGCAAATCTCTCCCGTTTTCTCCTGGTGGGGCACTGGGAGGGCTGGAGACGTGCTTTGCATTGGCAGGCTGATGAGAACACGTGTCTCCTCCCTGCCTCCCCCCCGGGCTCCACGGTACCGCATTGGCATCAGTAAAGGCACCTGAAAACCGACAACCAACTCCTGGAAACGCTGCCTGCCACCTTATAACCCGAAAGAAAACGATACTATAGGCCCTACAGAGACCTGTGGCTCGCCTTTCTTCGTGCGTAAAGCTTTTGCGCACACCGCCAAACTGCCTCAGAGACTGAATAGGTGCGCTAACTCGTCGAGCATCAGAGCGCAGTGCCAAGATGCAGAAACGGAGCAGCGACGTCTGAAGGTGACATGAACCTGGGGATAATCAAGAGCAGCAGGCGTACATTGACCAAGAAGTGGAGATAGCAACTGAAAACCGACGGTGTCTTGAAACCAAACTTGCGCTTCCCCCCCTCCCCCCGTGGCTTTATCTAATGCAGAGAAACAAGAGCTGCCATCCAAAGTAGCCTCACATTTTTACTGACTGGAGGAGGAGAAAAAAGAACCTAATTAAGCTGCAGCCAGTTGAGATTCAGGAGAGGAACGAAAAATGGCGACATTAATCAGAAGCAAGCTTTCTAATAAACTGTCAAATGCAGCCACCGCTGTTTCCAACAAATCCCAGGCGAAGGTGAGCGGGATGTTCGCCAAAATGGGGTTCCAGGCCGCCACCGACGAGGAGGGTCTGGGCTTCGTCGCCTGCGATGACCTGGACTACGACCACCGGCAAGGCATGCAGATGGACATTTTGACATCCGATGAAATGGGGGGAGAGGGGAGCGGAGACGGAGGCGCGCTGGAAGGTGACAGCCACTACCAGAGGGACGGCACCGGTCCACCGCGCTCCGCCTCAAAGGACGGAGGTCCGACGAACGAGTTGACTGAAGCGAGACCAAAAATCACCGCTTGGGAGGCGGGCTGGAACGTCACGAACGCAATCCAGGTAAAGACGCACTTCACGGATTATAAACGGGCGGTGCCGGTGCTCGGGTCTAATTGGCTCGTTCCGGAGCAGCTGTGTAAAATTCGAGATAAACTCACACCTGCGACCGAATAAAAAAAAAGGTGCATTAAAATATTCATACAAAACAAAGATCACCAGGTTCAGTCCCTTTGAAGCAACTTCGTCAAGTTGCTGTTTTTTAAATAATTAAAAAAATAAAAAATAAAAAGAAATTACTTTTGGCTTTGACATAGAAGATTTCTTGAACACACAACTTATTTTTATCCTAATTATATACTTTTACTGGAGCAATGCAGAGATTTCAGAGGCGTTAAAATGCGCTGAAAAAAAGGGAGGTAGTTGATGCCCTGTGCCCCCCCCCCCTCCTCCTCCTCCTCCTCCTCAACACACATTCTTTGTCTGTATAGTGATGTCCACTGTCACTGACAACTGCCCACCTAATACTCCGCATGGAATTTATTAATCCATGAAGAATAACAGCATCATTTTGTAGACTTTAGGCGTAGAAACTTTAAGCATATTTTTTTACCATATTTTTTCGATTGTTTTGTGGCAGTTTAAAGCCACCGTAATAATTACAGCTATGGGCAAAGATGTCTGAAGTGTAATGAATCACAAATATTCCAATATTGTCTTGGCATTGCATTTGTAGACAGAAATAAATTGCTTTTCTTTTTTTAAATCATTACTATTAAATATCCAATTACGCACAGAGACACACACTCACTGAGAGTCTAGTCTTGTGTGTGTGTGTGTGTGTGTGTGTGTGTGTGAAGGCTCTGCGACAAACAAGAAAAAAAAATTCCCTAGACGCAATCCTTGTCATGCCTTATCACGGCTGTGGTCACGGAAGTCACCGTGACGTCAGAGTGTGTCTCCTCCAGCTCGTGGTGACGTCAGAGGCGGGCGGATGCGCTCAAAGCGAAGTGGAAAACCCACAACATGAAAAAAAAAAAAAAAAAAAAAAGGGAGTGACATCCATTGAGGAGTCAGGCCGAGGCAAAGCCCAAAAAGCAACATGCAATTCAAATATATTTTGGTTAATTCAAATAAAAATGTGTCAAAGCATTAATTACCTAATACTTAATGATCAAACTCTAACAATTTAATCCATTCACAATATGTGTTGTTGTTTTTTTTTGCCTTTTTTCTATGTTCCTAGGGGATGTTCGTTCTTGGGTTGCCCTACGCCATCCTGCACGGAGGATACCTCGGACTCTTTCTCATTATTTTCGCCGCTGTGGTGTGCTGTTACACGGGGAAAATCCTCATTGCATGCCTGTACGAGGAGGACGAAGACGGGCAGCTCGTCCGTGTGAGGGACTCCTATGTGGACATTGCCAACGCCTGCTGTGCGCCCAGATTCCCGTCTTTAGGTGGCCATATCGTGAATGTAGCCCAAATCATAGAGTTAGTGATGACTTGCATCCTGTATGTGGTGGTCAGTGGTAATCTCATGTACAACAGCTTCCCAGACATGCCAATTTCCCAGAAGTCCTGGGCCATCATCGCTACCGCCGCTCTGCTCCCCTGCGCCTTCCTCAAGAACCTGAAAGCCGTCTCCAAGTTCAGCTTGCTGTGCACAATGGCCCACTTTGTCATCAACGTCCTGGTGATAGCGTACTGCCTCTCCAGAGCGAGGGACTGGGCCTGGGACAAGGTCAAGTTTTACATCGACGTCAAGAAGTTCCCCATCTCCATTGGGATTATCGTGTTCAGCTACACCTCGCAGATCTTCCTGCCGTCCCTGGAGGGGAACATGTATAAACCGAGCGAGTTCCACTGCATGATGAACTGGACTCACATCGCTGCCTGTATCCTCAAGGGCCTGTTCGCCCTGGTGGCCTACTTGACCTGGGCTGACGAAACCAAGGAGGTCATCACAGACAACCTGCCCCCAACCATCCGAGCCGTCGTCAATATCTTCCTAGTGGCCAAAGCTTTGCTGTCGTATCCGCTGCCGTTTTTCGCCGCCGTCGAGGTTTTAGAGAAATCGTTTTTTAATGATGGGGCTCGTGCGTACTTTCCAGATTGCTACGGAGGCGACGGACGCCTCAAATCCTGGGGACTCTCTCTCCGATGTATCCTTGTTGTGTTCACCTTGCTCATGGCGATCTATGTGCCACATTTCGCCCTCCTCATGGGTCTCACCGGCAGCCTGACAGGCGCAGGCCTGTGCTTTCTGCTTCCCAGTCTCTTCCACCTTAAGCTTTTATGGAGAAAGCTGCTATGGCACCAGGTTTTCTTTGACGTGGCCATCTTTGTAATAGGAGGTATATGCAGTGTATCTGGTTTTATCCACTCAGTAGAGGGGCTAGTAGAGGCTTTCAAATATAACATAGAAGAGTAGATTGCATTGCTGGAACTAGATGTTAACTGCAAATCCCCATTTAGTGAAAAAATAATAAAACACACGAGTTCCCGGCAAGCGCGGCCCTTCTGCTTAACTCATGCGTAAAAAGCGCGCGCACAGAACACACGCGGACATTTTCGCACTCACTCTTGCATCAGTTCAGAAGTAACGCGCACACACACGCACACACACACACACACACACACACACACACACACACACACACACACACACACACACACTCTAGGAGCCGAGGGAATCCAATGCATCCACAACACACTATATGGACAATACATGTTGTATAAATATGCGAACAAACGTACATATACATATTTTCCAGTGGAGTGAACGTTTACAATATTGACCTTAAATAAATTTGCAAAAAGGGCAGTTTGTCTTTTAGTCGCTCTTGTGGTGCTTCCCCCACATGAGACTTCACTTCATGTAACGCTCCAGTTTGTGATGGACAGATATTCGACGGCATAATGTGATTCAATGATGATCAAGATAAGTTTATTTTAAAAGAAGAAGGAAAAAATAAATAAAGTTAAACCACTTTCTTCTATAGGTAATTTGCAATATGATTATGGGGCAGTGAATGTGGTGTTTAATCCAGAAAAAAGCCTCTGGGACGGAAAAAAACCCCCAACACACAATGGCAATAACCAGCAGTAGAAACACATGAATGCATATAGAAACATATGTTCCGTTAGAAATGAGGAAATTGGACCTTCCCCCCCACCCCCACCCCCGAGCAGTTTAAAATACTGGAAATGCAAAATATCAAAGTACACAGCAGCTATACAAACTATGCATTGAATGTATGATATTTCAGACACATAAAACACAATGAAAAGTAGAAATATTAAAAAAAGAAAAGAAAGAAAAGATCCTGCAAATTTAAATTCTTCTGCGTGAAAGTGTTAATGCTTTGGTATTCTTTCCAATATTAACCTTTAATTTATTGCGCTTTTAAATAGGCAATAACTCAAATTCACCTGACCTAGTAAAATGTCCGAACCCCCCCCGGCCCCATACATCCTGGCCTAAATTTCATCTAGATGGGGACTCCAAATTGAAATCCTGCACACTCGGTTCACCATAATGCTTGTCATTACATTTGAAAACAAAATGGCCTGTTATGAAATTAATTTGAAAGATTCCCGTCTCGAAAATTCGGTGTCTGAAAAATATTTTTCAGAGGTCATTAAAGAGGAAAATGTGCATACAGACATTTTTCATTCTGTGCAATCCAATGGGTCCTGTGGAAATGTTATAAAACCGTATGTGTAGTGTGTAATTGTGGTTTCAAAAAGATGGAATGTATATCTCAAAGTCGTTATCATATATCGTGAAATTAATATTAAAGAATAAAGAAATAAGTGAAATTATATTGTAAAAATGTGTGTGGTTTTATGTAAAACGAAAACGCGGTCAGAACATGTATTTTTTTTTCTCTCTATAATAAAAGACAGAAAATGATGGAGAAAAAAAGTCGCATTCATATTTATTTTTTTAATCGAAATTTAGGTTAATTGACACCGTTTAAAGGCTGCAAAAGGCCTAAAAAAGAAATAACCATATAATGTGTGTGTCTCAGGGTTTGAGTGAGTGGAATGAAGGTCGATACAGACCCACTCTGTCTACTACAAATATATTTCTCTACATCTATATATTCTCGACTGTTGCCTATAATAGAGAAAGTGAAAGACGTGCGTGTTTCTCCGCCGGGACTCCTGCATGCTCAAATGAAGCGCATGTCGACAGATTTTCTGCTGCAGGCAGGCAGGCAGGGAATCAGGCCTTATGATCGACCTGCTCATCCACTGAGCCGATCTCCCTGCGTAGACAACATCTGGACGAACCGTTTATTCTCTGAGTGGGCTAATCTCCAGCTGTTGAACCATCAAAGCTACCTGGTGCATACGAGTGCACGGATTTACCTCATAGCGGAGTCCATCTAAAACTATTAGCAACTTAAAATAGGAGGGGGGGGGTAAGTTCACATGTAACAAAGCTGCAGTGAGGAGGAAAACGTGGTGAAATAATGTCTAATGTGGTCACTGGATAAAAAACAGGCAGACGTGCTACAGACATCTCACTGCACCGAGGTCAACGTAATGGATACATTGGTTATAAGTCCTGGATTCATCCTAGTTCAATAGGCGAGATAAAGCTGAGAGAATACTGGCATTATCCAGAGGACAAGCATCAACACGTCGGTATTTGATGGGAAATCCAACAACTGAGACACAGCGGAATAAACTTAGAGAAAAAGAAAACAGCTTTACGCACAAGTACAATTACGAACTAAATGAAGGATTTTTAACAATAACAAACAATAAGACGATGTTCCTCCTGTAATGAGCTCCCGGACACTGGATATTATCATGGCTGGGGAGCCACCTAGCGGACAGGAGCGTGACTGCTTAAAAACAGAGAAATTACAGCACTGTGTAACATGAAGGAATATTATTTAGGGGTTTTAACTATTTAATGCTTGATGGATGAAATTAGACGTTTTACTGCCGCCAGGGAAACAGCTAATAAAAGTATTGCACAATATTGTATTCCACAGACCTGAGCAGTGTCTTTATGGCATAAACTTAGGGTCCATTTCTCTAATTGAACAGAGTTGGGTGACACCTACTCTTCATGCCGCCTAAACAGACACTTTTTGGAGCAGTCTTTAAAAGCCAGGATTACCAAATTATCTGGTCAACGTCACAGAGAGAATCCGGTTTCACATTTTAGGAAGTTCTTGGTTTTATCTAGAAAAGGTACTCTCATAACTCCATAAACGTTGATTTCCATAATATGGAAGGGTTTATTTATACATATATTTATACTCGTCAAATTTAAAAAGATCAATTTCAGTCTACACTTAACCTTCTGGAAACAAATCCTTTTAATTTTTAAATATAGCCAAAAACATGATACAACCCTTTTAGCTACAACACGTAACCCACGAAAACCACTAACTTCTTCACTTTTCAGCATTTTATTGTAACAGCAATTCACTGTGATGAACACGTTTATTAACAAATTATTAACAAAGACAGTGAATTAATACAACCTACAATCTGTACATGCTCCCAATTCAGTTCTAGTGGTGTACTGGCGCCCCCTGCTGGTTCTGATGAAACAGTACTTTATTATTGGAAGCATCTCGCTCACTTCTAGTGCAAAGTCTTGTTTACCAAGTACTTGAGATTGAAATGCACAGATGATAAACATAAAATACTTTTCACTGACAGACATATACTGCTTAATTCCAATGAAAGATAATTTATTTTTTATTTCAAGTAATGGCATTTTAGAGAAGCTCGATAAAAATTTCATAATTATACAAATACAGTGAAATATTTACAGGCAATAGGATGCCATCGGGTAAGACAAGGAAACTCAAAAAGGGTAAGAAGATAAAAAAAAAGTGTAAGAAAAAGATAAACCAAGTGGCTCAAGATGCCTGCAGACAAACATCCATGTGAAGTGATTTCGTAGTCAATAAAGTAGTACAAGTATGCACTGGTGTTCGTGTTTCACACCTTTGTGTAGGTTGTGTTCGGCACTAATCCACCCTCATGTTCAGCCATCAGATGTCAGGTGGAGGGGAACACAAGGCCTCATTTGCTGGGCTCTTCGTTGTTCAGGGTTGTGGGCTTCTTGGAGGAGGACTCGACCACCCAGGGGTGGGACAGGACTCCCTGGATGGGCAGTCTGTGCATAGGGTTGTGCTTCAGCAGCCTGGCAACCAAGTCTTTGGCTCCAGCGCTGGTGTTTGCTTGTGCAGGGTAAGTATACTCCACCTGGAAGGTAGAGACAGAAAACCAGCACAAACATTAAACAGCAATTATAAATTACACTGTAAACTGCAAACTCCAGGGGGATGATAAAGGCGACAGCTCTGAAACCATCCAAGCATCCTCTATCAAGTGCTTCTTTTTTCACTTACTTATAAGCCACCACTCTGATTTACAGGTTGTCCTTTAACTAGATAGCTTTTGCAGTAAATTACACTTAATGAGTATATTTATTTCACTATGAATTGTTAGCTACATAACAAGTACTCATTTGATTCTGCATTAAAATGTCGTCAAAAAAAAAAAAAAAAAAAATAGACAGCTCTATAATGTCTGCTAGCTGTTGTAGTTATCCATCCTGTGCTTACCCTTGATATCCTGCGGTAGGTCTCCTCATGAGTTTTTGCTTCGAAGGGGGGTTTTCCAACCAGGAACTCGTAGCAAAGGACACCCAGACTCCACAGGTCCACCTTTTCGTCATGAGTTTTTCCCTCAATCATCTCTGGAGGCAGGTAATCCAGTGTTCCACACAGAGTGGATCTCCTGAACAAGGAAAGAAGAGTAGATAAAGTTAGTTTGTAGTCTCTCTGTTATAGTGGGACAAAAAGTAGAATACACAAGAAGTTCAAAAATGTAAAGACCCAAGAATAATTCCTGACCAGAGCACAGACACTGAAGCCAAACAAGTCAATTGCAAATGCAACCCAAATTATTGTTATTATTCCTCGAACATTATAATACCATAGTTAAAAAAGGCTTTACAGATAAATTAGTTCAATAAAAAGAAAAGGTGCCGTTTGTACAAAAGCGTACGTGTATTACCTAGAGGAGGGTGTATGAACAGACCAGCCAAAATCTGCAATCTTCAGCTCCCCATTGGCCCCCAGTAACAGGTTCTCTGGTTTGATGTCTCTGTGGATCACCTTCTTGGAGTGGCAATAGTTGAGGGCATCTGCCAGCTCCATGATGTACTAGTACAGCACATAAAGCCATGGTGAATACAACACGCATACTGATTGACAGCATTCTCTTAATTTTTAAATATTCAATAAACTCAAGAAAGGACACAGAACACCAACATATGAGAAGCAGCATGTTCACTGAAGGGGTAAATTGAAACTGTCTCATTATACTGAATTTGGGAACAGGCAGATATACTGTAATAATAAGCACTGCATGGTAGTACCATGGTTTCATAACACTATCGCGTTGCATAAACAAGTAACTACAGTTGGGAATGAAATCAGGATGGAGGGGGGAGTAACGTTAACATTAGAAGAAAAACATCAGGATAAAAAAGGTGTCTGATAATTCATTTAGCCTACACACACACACATAAATAGACTTTATTTTCCCAGGAAATACTTGACCTAGCCAATAGAACGGCATAGAGAGAGCAAGGCATATAGGAAACTAATCTAAAACACAGATGGTGTAATTCTATAGCCATTACACTGTGCAATCAACATTTACTTCATAATGACGACGAAGTGTCAAACTTACTGTGGCACTTCTGTCCTCAGGAAAACTTCCACAGCGCTGCAGTTCACTGTACAGTTCACCCTTGGGCGCAAACTCAAGGATGAGATACACACGAGAGGAGTCATGGAAGTAACCGTAGAGACGCAGGATATTGGGGTGCCTGTGGGATGTCCATGCAGAGAAGTGTTTAGTTGAAACACCCAGCAAATATTTGAAGAGAGCAAACAGCAGCAGAACCAAATGAACACTGGCACTAGCCAATGCCTCAGCAGCTGCTTTGTAGAGGTCCATGGTCTGAGCTCATGCCTAACGTCTATGCATTATGTCTGGTCAAAACTTTCAAAACAGATCAGATTGTAACTCAAGACAGAAGAAATAGAAACATGAACCAAGCAATTATTTTGCTTTTCCTGAAGCTCCATTCCTTGTTATCACCGTTAACAGTCACTTGAGCCAGTGCACTCTCTAGATCCCTGTCTTTTGAAAGAGGAGTTAGAAGCAGTTTTTTAAATATTGAAGCTCAGCTTCGACTCCATGTGGCACCTGTCCAGGCTACTGTTTATACAAGATGTCTTCTAGTATGCAACAGTGGCTGCTGTTATGCAAGTTAACTTCCAGACCTTTATGTTTGTTTGTTCCTCTTTAGCTTAAACCTGACTGGTCATTGGAATTTGTGTTACTGTTCCATTCAAACTATGTGACATTACAGAAATTGGTAGACGGTGAGCAGCAATTGAAATCTCTGAACCGTTGGAAATGAATTAAGAAGACCACTGTGTCAAACTGCCTCTGGTTGTCCCAACTCCATCAGTACTCATATCTGACATTATACCCAATAATCTGAACACCACATTACCTGAGGTGAGACTGGATCTCCACTTCTCTCCTCAGCTGGTGCTCCACACCGGCCTTCTCCAGCTGCTTCTTAAAGAGCACCTTCAGGGCCAAGATGAATTTACTTTGGCGCTCTCTGGCAAGGTAGACATTGCCAAATTTACCCTTTCCTAAGGGACGTCCGATGTCAAAATTTTCCAGGCTCCATCGCTTGCTGTGTGAGTAAAAATATGTACAGTTTTATAATCGTACCATAGATTATATGAAATATA